GTATCTAGTCGAAGACATTACCCTTAAAAATTGAAAAAAATTCCCTCGTTCCCCGTAAATGGGGGAAACCTCCAAAAAAATTACAAATTTAAAAATCGCTAATTTTCGAAATTTTTTCAATTTTTTTTACTTAAAAGTGCCATAACTTTTTTAAAAATGAACATATCACTATAATTTTTTTTTTATAGATTCTTGATGTCTTTACCTATTATTTGGTTAATTTGTTTTGTAAATTTGATCTTTTTTCTGCCCACGAGGGGGGATTTAAAAAGACAACTTTTTCAAAAAAAATTAACTTTTTCAACTTAACTTTTGAAAATGTCCCGGAAGGTCTGACACTTTTATATATATCTTAAATTAAAGCATATATAATGTACTTTAATTTGAAAAAAAAAAATTTGACCTCTGGACTTGTCTTCATGGTGAAAACGGCTACCGAATGCTAATTTTGTGTGAAAATTTTTGATTTTATAATTGACATTTTTTACTTTATAGTGCTATAACTTTTTAAAAAACGTATGGATCAATACAATTTTTTCATGAGAAGTAGTATTTATATACAGAGGGTGGACAAAATAATATGAACACCATGCAATATAGTTACATATTGTTGCAAGTTGGCTACACTGTATAATTTTAGGATAACATGGCGTAAAATTAGTATATTATTACAATATAGTAGTTATTTATAACATATAAAGCTATGGTTTCCTAGAAAAGCGGTGCCGTTATCTAACGGCCGTCATTTTACGGTTGTTAATAACGGCCGTCTTTACGGTGACCAATCTGTGGTTTCCTAGGAAGTGCGACCGTATTCAATCGTAGTCACTTAAAAGTCAGTACTCACTCGAGAGTAGTTGATCGCGCATTGGTGAAAAATGGACGATTTGGACATAGCGTTATTAGTATGTTTGGATGATGAAGAGTCATCAGAAGACGAAAACAATCGTTTGGAGGAGAGTGTTATGTTCAAAAATCGTGAAACTGAGGGTGCATTTCAAATTTGGCTTGTCTATACTCTTTGGATTTGATATTGTACAAAGCTTCATGATTTTTGACAAAATCAATTAATTGTTCATCATTTTCGCTCGTCCAAATCACGTTTCCACTCTTTGTATAATTTAAAAATGCACACCGCTACATGGGAAAAACATTAAACTTTTGTTTATCACCGCTATGACGGCCGTCATGCAATTGACAGCACCGCTATTTGACGTTACGGTGACACTCAACGTACTCTAGGAAACCTACCCGATGTTATTTATAGAAAACGTCACCCAACGCTATATTACGGCCGCTGGATAACGGCACCGCTTTTCTAGGAAACCATAGCTTTAGTGTATAACACAGGTTATACTACGAACGTTAAAATAAATTTAAAATAAAATGCGTGACCTCTCGGACTTCCAAAGAGGGCAAATAGTGGGTGCTCGATTAGCGGGAGCGTCTGTAACGGAGACATCTAAACTGTTGAACGTGTCAAGAGGGACAGTATCCACAGTAATGACAACATACACGAAATACGGAAAAACATCATCGGCGAAAAGTAATAGTGGGCGAAATTCAAAGTTGACTGACAGGAACCGACGAACATTAAAACGGATTGTGACAAGACAACATAAAACTACCGCGGCTAAAGTTACAGCAGAACTTAACGCTCATTTAGGTAATACTGAATCTATTCCGCGAAGGATTGAAGCGGTTTTAAAAGAAAATGGAGGCCTAACATCTTATTAATAAATAAATATTGAGTATATGTCAGGTGTTCATATTATTTTGTCCACCCCCTGTACATCTTTCATTGGATATACTTTTTTTTTAAATCAAACTATTTCCCTAGACAAAAGTGGTAATATAATTTCAGAACCTAGCGAGATTGTAATCAAATTTCAAGAATTTTTCGAAGAACTCCTAAATAACAAAAATAACCGCATCGGAAGTAACAATAATGAAAAGTACGAAAAATTAGTGTATCATACAGCAGAACCTGAACTTCTAGCACCAAGTATCGAGGAGATTGAAATAATCATTAAATCACTAAAGAATAATAAATCTCCAGGGGATGATAACATAAATTCTGAACTACTAAAAATTGCAGGAAAAGAGGTACTAATTAACCTACACCAAATTATAACGAATATATGGAACACCGAACAAATAGAGCAAGAATGGTCGTCATCAATTATTTGCCCAATTTTTAAGAAAGGGGACCCAACAAAAGTTGATAATTATCGAGGTATTTCGTTATTAGACACTGCGTATAAGGTGCTCTCAATAGCTATCTTACGAAGGATAGAAGCATTCGCTTTTGACATAGTAGGAAAATATCAATGCGGCTTCACAAAAGGAAGATCCACCAGTGACCATATCTTTACGCTCAGACAAACAATGGAAAAGTATTATGAGTTTGACAAAGACTTGCACATGATATTTATAGATTTTAAACAAGCGTACGATAGCATCGACAGAGAACAACTATGGATAGCATTACAGAATTTTGGGTTGCCCAAAAAACTTGTAAATCTAGTTAAAAGCTGCAATTCTAATGCTACATGCAAAGTGCGTTTCTTGGGAAGGGAGTCAGGGGACTTCGAAGTCAAGTCTGGTTTAAGACAAGGGGATGCGCTATCCCCGATTCTATTCAATATAGCATTGGAAAGAATAGTGAGAGATATGAATGAAACCCGAGAAATGGATTTAAATGGTAAGGGAACATTGCTAGCATATGCTGACGACATTGTCATTCTTGGAGACTCTCAAGTCGAAGTAGAAGAAAGTACAAAAAAATTAATTAAGTCTAGTAAAAGAATGGGCCTCAATATAAATGAGAGCAAGATAAAATATATGATCATGAGCAGGCGTCCAAGAATTTTACAGAATCTCTCCGTAGATGAATATACATTTGAGCAAGTAGAAGACTTTAAATACTTGGGGGTTAATTTGAATAATAGGAATGATATGCATAACGAAATAAGGTTGAGGCTGAATGCGGCAAATCGAGGATATTATGCAATGAGCAAAATATTCAGTTCTAAACTTCTCTCCAGAGAAACTAAGATAAAGCTATATATTTCCTACTTACGGCCCATAGTAATGTATGGTTGTGAAACGTGGTCAACAACTAAAGGGGACGAGACAAAGCTACTAACATTTGAGCGAAAGGTTCTTAGAAGAATATATGGTCCCATA